CCCACAAGCTCTATATCAGGTACTCTGACAATGGTTTGTGAGACAGCAAAGGAATACCATTCCAACCACAACAGCAGGGAACAGAGTAAGCCAAAATACACCAAGGTCAGGCCTGCAGTTTGTCACACAGCAGGGATCTGCACCTCAATCTGGTGAATCCCAGTATAGCATAGAACCACTGGAAAGTTTCCAGCAAATGCAGCACTGAACTTCCCAAAGGGAGCAAAGTGGAATGGCAGCTTATTTACCTCTGACCTAGTAATACAGATGGAGAAGAACGCAGGTCACACCTGCGTTTGGGCACCGCTGGAGCTCCTCAGGCCTTGCCCGTGGGCAGGAACTACTGCAAACAAACTCCCCCTTCTTTGTCATCCTTACCCACTCTGTTCCCACAGTGAAGTCCAAAGGAATGTTCATTTCTTTCCTCGGACACAAGAGAAAGAAATCTAAGGCACTTTGCTCAAGAGAAAATCCCTTGAAAACCAGTTAATTTGGCAAAACCTGCAGTAGATCTGCACACACCGTACTCCCCAAAGGCCCAATCCCAGGATCCAACCCAGAAGGCAAAATCATCGTGGTGTTCAGCTCAGTGCAGCACACACAGGTCAGCATGATCACACCTGGTCCTACCAGAGTGCTCCTGTCTGCTCCATTCCATGTGTTCAGAGGGTAACATGAGCCTTACAGACCCCCTCTGGAGGTGACCAAAAACTAACCCCAACTAACACGAGAAGGCAATTCAGCAAAAAACTCGTACTTTTATTCTACCCTCAGAGGCTGCTCTGCCAGGCCCTGTGGCAGTGGCAGGCAAGGCCAAAGAGTCCAGTCCAGGTCAGCATCCCACAGGATCCCACCTCCTGCTCACAGGCACACTGAGCAAAGAGTACTCCAGGCTGGAGGACAACTCCTGGGAACAGCTGAGATGCAGACTCTGATCCCCAGGCCTGTCAGCCTAAGCCTGTCTGGCACAATCAGACAGGTGACTGCAAAGCAGGAGAGCGCTGGGCACGGGCCTGATTCTGCAGAGAGGGCACGTTTTAGAACACCCTGGAGGCTCCAGGACCTTTGCTCCTGTCCCACTCACAAGAGCTGCAGGCAGGGCACCCCTTGGCCAAGACCCAGGGCTCAGGATGGCAGCACTGAAGAGCTCCTGCACTCACACAGACTGGATGGACCAGCTGAGATCTGCCAGCAGCTGCCAGGCAAAAGAAACAGAGAAGGACTGTGACATGACCCTCTACAGGAGAAAACATCTGACACTTCTGACACGTAACTGAAAGCATCTCAAAACATCTATGGAAAAGGAAATAATCTGGAAATTGGATTAAGTCTCTCTTGTTGTCTCATTATCTTCCTGACTGTGAGAGAGAAGTCTTCTTTCACCGGTTATTTGTCCCTCTGGATTCAAACTGAAGTGGAAACTGAAGTTTATTAAAACTTAAATATACTTTTTGATAACTTTCCCAGAGAAGCAAAATGTTAATGCAAGTTTTGGCTTAGTCTTCACTTGGGAAATGACTCCTCCTCCATAACAGGATGAGCTCTAGCAGCTTTGTTATTGCACTCACCAGAGGCCCAAGTATCACCTGCAACACATGGTCCCCTCACATTTCAGGAGCAGGGAGGGAAGGATGTGCAGGTGCTGACAGAAACAGAGAGTTGGAATTCTTTCCCTCAGAAATGAAGACTGAGGAAACATGGGAACAGACAGGGAAGGTGCTGCAAGCAGAGAGGCAGCTGTTCACCTCAGGACAGGACAAGTGCTCGCCTTTAATCACACAGAGCTGCCATTACAGGGGATGACTTTGCAGCAGATAGAACAACAAAGCACCAAAACCAGATTGCATGCAGAAGTCCTTATCAGCACTGGGAGCCTTTTAGATCGGGCTGGGCAAACATTTGTCAGGAATGATGTAACGCAAGTTGGTGCTTACTTGGACAGAGAAATTGGGCTAGCTGACTGTCAAGCTCTCTTCCAAACCATTTTGATCTATGGCCCTACATCGAGGAACATCGAGTGTTGGCCAGTAATCCACACACAGGCGGTTATCTGGGTCCCCAGAGATGTTCTGTGTCCCCCCAGTGGAGTCACCCTGTCAGTCAGTGCCTCACAGGAGCAGCAGTCTCATTCCTACGAGACCATGGGTAGTTTATCCTCTGTGAGGATGAACACACTTCTTTATCTCTCTAAGGTCCCTGGGAAAGTCCCTCTCACCCCATATCTTGGGCGGACACTGAAAGCACAGGTGGCACTTCAGGGTGCTCACGTGGACATTACACCAGAACAAGAATGGCACTCTGACCTCCAGCCCTAGGGGGGCTTCAGGCCCCCATTAACAGCCTGAGGTACAACCCCAGCCCCGTACCAAGCTGTGAGTCCCCTCCCAGTTTGCCGACACAAGCGCAGCGTGGAAGCTGTTTCACCGGCACAGGAACCGAGGGTAAAGCCCCACTTTGCAGCTGCACTGACAATGCACCCTCTGCTGACCCCAGTTCTGTCCTTAGCGGGGTCTGCAGCTCCCCACGCAGCGGGCAGGCTGAGGCAAGAGTCTCTCCCGCACGGACACGGCTAAACCGGGCCCGCAGCTCCACCTGCAGGGCTCTGCCAAACCGGGAGCCTTTCCCACCTCGCCCTCGGGGCAAGGGCAGTTACCCCAGCGGGTACCGCACACCCGGTAACCCCCAACCACCGCTGGGAGCACACATAGCCACATCCTCAGGGGCCTGACAGCAAACAAAGCCCCTCTCGGAAAGCACCGCCTCGGGAATCAAATCACCGTTTCCATACGGTTCCAAAGGCCCAGGAAATTCCCAGGAAATTCGGACCATGTCAGACACTGGATTTCACACAATGCCAAGTGGAGCGTCAGCCTCCCGCGGCCCCAGGGGCTCTGCAGCTCAGCCTCCTGCTCACACACAGCCCAGGGCTCCAGCGAGGGGCCTGGGGCTCCCTGAAACCACCACCTCCAAGGAGCTCCTCTGTCCCAAAACGAGCCGGGGCCAACGTGTGTGAAGCACTGCAGCACACACTGTTCAACACCAGCACAGGCCCTGCGATGTGAGTCTGACAAGAACATCCAGCCTCTTGGGAGGAACAGCAATTTTTCTCCACTCTCGTCTTTATGAAAAGGTCAGCAGCACCATGGGATTTTCCAAGACATATAACCCCTATGCAACGCAAATCCATGGAAATGCAAGCATTTTCACTATTGCTTTACTATAAATATAGGAATTTAACACTTGCCCTACTGGATTAGACCAACAGTCTGTCTCACAGGGGATTTGTTCTGCTCAGAGCTTGGACAAGTGACTGATTGATGATTCCAAGAAAAAGCACACTGCCTTCCCCAGCCCAGCCACCCGCACGCTGGGAGGGTCAGCTAGCTGCAGCCTGCTGCAGGGAAACAGCCAACCCCTGAAGAATGAAGCGTGAAGTGTTACACTCCCATGACCCAGCTCCTACAGCACCCTGTAAAAGCAAGCTGTGCATGTTGCCCTGTTTCATACAGGAACACTGCTAACACCCAGGAGAAATCTGTGAACCCATTTCTTTAAATTTAATTTCCAAACAGTGTCTGAGAAACTGAATTTAAAAAATATCCATGAATTACTGTTAAAAACAAATCCAAAACCAAATCAAACAACACCTCTTTGACTACAATTTGTACTCATGGCTCTAGCAAAACTCTAGCAAACTCCCAGTTTCAAACAGAGAGTGTACAGGCCATGGTTGTCTCCTGGGGGGATAAATGCAGTGTGAGAGGTACAATGAGGGAAAAACCAGTGAGTGCACAGAGCTGTAAGAGCCCAGAGGGTGGGAAGGATCCAGCTGGAGACCCGAGCACTGGGGGAAAGCAGGGCCAATGTTCAGGAGTTAAGGGGGAATGAAAGAGCAGGGAGAGTGGGAGAGGAAGAGGGGAAAGGGAGGTGTATTAGTGCCCATGTAATGCCTCTGAATCTGCTGCAGCCTTCCCAACAGACTTAGTTTGCTGGTGCATCTCCCGCCTAATGTGTCTGGCTGTGCAGTCCAGTCCAGCCTGGACAGGGCCTGACAGCACATCCCCAGCACACACACATTGCAGGGTCACTGTCTGGACACTTCCACCCCTACTGAGTCCTCACCTCCACTGGCCCAGCAACTGCTTCCATTTGGACTGGCAGAGCAGATACTTTCCTTGGCTTGCTTTCCTTCCTTCTCTCACTAGCTATGGTCAAGAAAGGAACTTACAACACTGGAAACAGCAGCAGCAGCAGCAGGAAGCAGCAGCTTGAATTTAATCCTGCCATTATTTATAATGTCTGATGTTGACTGTCCATTTCAGGGACTTCTCTCAGTGCTGTTTCAGGCAACCCTGCTCTGAGTCATCCTTCCCAAAGAGACAGTGGGATAGTTTCCCTCAGCTATTCCCATGGCTGTCAAGAGACTGAGTCCTACTCCAAACTTAGCTTGCTGTCACGTTTTGTACAAGTCATTTCACCTCCTGTTTTCCAACTTCTCCATCTGCAAAACTGGAGTAGCAACTCTGGCTTTCTGTGTAAAGTCTTGCTAGTAACTGCCTCACATGGAAGCTGGGCATTTGTATTACTATCAGAGCAATGTGTGGGTGCCAGGAGTTTTGTCAGGCCTGAATGATTGCAGAGCAATTCCTGTAAAGACACTGATCTGAAGCACTATATTTATTACAATGTTTTGACTGATTCTGGCAGCATCCACCAAGTGTCAGGGGTTGTAGATCAGGTGCTGTAACATGAGCACTGATCCTTCAATGGCATGTCACTCAGCAGGAGTGGGAAACTAAGGCTGATTTACTGTTGGAACATCAGGATCCTGGAACAGAACTGAATTGGAAGTGTGCAGGCCAGCCATGTCCTGTTATACCTGCAAATCCATGTGCCAATATAAGCCAGAATTTGAACCTATCATCCAATCTGGTCACATTCTATATAAATGAATCTCAAGGCCAAAAAATAATGGAATCCTTTCTAGGTCAAATGGGTGATCTGGCACGTCAAGAAGTTGTATTTTTAATGAAACATCTGGAGCTGTGAACTCTGTCTTGGGTGCTGAGATTAATGAGCCACTTTAGCAGAGCAGACTAAAAAGCTTCCTGAGGAAGGTGAAACACTTCCACATGCTCAGTTGAACTTCTGCATCTCTGGGTGAAGTCTGTATCGGGAAATGAAGGGGTCTGTCACTGCATGGAGAGTCCAACACAGGGGAGTGAAGTGGAGATTCCTTTCACCCAGCAAAAGGAGTTTTCTACAAGCTGTTCAGCCGGGCTCAAGAGCACAAAGCATCCTGCAAGGAGAGTTATGTCTGCTGCAGTTGTCATCTGCTTTGTTTCTGGATGTGCAGAAACCGAGGCCTGTGGGAAGAAGAATGACCAGAACTGTAAGTCTCACTCAGGGACAATGTGCCACTACATCTATCCTATAAAAGCAGCAATTTTCCAATGGCAATAATCCCACCAGAGCCTGTCACTCCATCAGAAATGCTCACCTGTGTCAGAATTTATGACTCAGAAACACCTGCCAGGCTGTCTCAGGATATCAGAAGGCTGAGCCCCTCTTTTGTCAAAGACTGGCTTCAGCTGTGGCCCTTCTCTGGCTGAGTTCATTCAGCTCATCAGAGTGCAGGGACATATTCCACAAAGGACACAGACCTACACCTGAAGGTAAAAAAAGACTTACTTGCCACAGAAGTCCTTGTGAACGGCACGGAGGGTGAGGGGTAAGTTTGGGTGTGCCTGTAGCCAGTGCTCCACCATATCTGGGTGTCTGGGATCAACTTCCAGAAACACACTCCTGAAAAGACACGTTCAGGTGTAGAAAGCAGGGAGATGCACATGTTTAAGTTGTTAAACTGATAAAAATGAAGGTCTTTCCCTCTGGATGACTCCTACCAGTGGGAAATGAAAAGGTCAGTAAAAACACTGCAATCCAGTAATCCTAAAACAGATCATAGCTATCCATTTTAGATGCATATCCCAACTGCCTCCTTCAGGGGAGAAAGTGTTGAACCTGGTGGGGCATTCTCATGGTACTTAAGCCCTTGTATTAAGATGTAAGGAGCCCTGTTGAAGCCCATGCAGAGATACCACCAGCAATGAAGCCCCCAAAGATTTAAGGCCAGAATTCAGCTTTATGCTGCAAATTCACAGAGCACTGGCCTGGCAGCAGGAGGTTCCTCTGTGTGGAAGCAGCAGGACCATGAAGCACAAGCCAGCACACACATCCTCCCACAGTAAATGTCTCTATAACCCAGTCATGAAAACACTACCAGCATTCAGGCTACACAAAACTCATCAGCCAAGGCACCAGGACTAGGCCTGGGCACTGCAGGGCTACTTCCATTTCTGCCAGGCTTTACAACACCAGCCCATTTCCCATCTCCCCTCCCCTGCTGGGGCAGAACCAGCCCAGCTCAGAGGCACGTGGAGGATGGAGCTGGTCATGGCCTGGGACAGCACAGCAAGATACAACTTCAACAGGCAAAGGACAGAGGCCAAGCTGCATCCTACGCTCTCCTGGGAACCCCTAAAACATCCAACACTGAAAACTCCCTACAAATTCACCAAGCTGGGTGTGGATCTCATTTCTGACCCTAAAAAACTTCCACTCCTCAATGGGGTCTCCACCTTATAAAAGGAGCAAGAAGGGAAAGAAAAGAAATAATCCTACAAATAACCCCATGGGACCAGTCTCTGTTGCTGGGAAGTTCTGAGGAGCATCTTCTGCTCCTGTGGTCATGCAAAGCATGAGGAATGAATTCTGCATGGAGGATGCCTCTTAATATTCCCATTCTTCTTCTCAGAACAGCATATTTTCAACAACCTCTCTCATGCTGGCCAAATGTCAGGAATATTCAGGAATATGTGTGAATGCCCTGGCACATGAACAGTGCATTCAGACTTTTGGTTATCAGCATGATGATCTTCAAAATGGATCCCACATGACAGAGGACAGGAACAATCAGTCTTGAATACTAATCATGGAGAAATTTAACATCTAAGAAACCACCCCTGGCTGATCTTTCTCCTGGGATATTCAGCATTATAAACTGGTAAAATAAACAAGTTTCCCCTAATTAAAGGGTGGGAGGGAACAGAGATCTACATCCATCCTCCCAGAGTTCTCCAGTGCTTCTCCTTCCATCAGTTATTCACCTTACAAAGTTTCCCTGCTTTTTGCACTCTCTTCCATGTTCTTTTTGTTGCTGCTTTGACCTTTAAAGGTTGTCACTTCACTAATGACCATGACACAGCACCACCAGTCAAGGAAGGCCTGTATCCCTGTATTAACCAATTCCAAGCAAATTTTGCTCATACACCTGACATTTTTTGAAGTGCTATTATTAAATGGGCAACAGGGGGATTGTTTTGCAACTATTTTCCCTCTGTTTTGTTTTCATACAGGAAGGTATAGAAGTTATAGAACTGAATGGATAAAGGGCACGAAATCCAAAGAGAGAGCAATGCTTACCCAGAATCCTTCACAAGAGAAGGAGCCAAAGCCAGAATTGTTTTGATGACTCTCATGCCATCATCTCCCCCATCCAGAGCATCAAGGTCCTCATAGCTGGAGTGTGGGAAGAAGAAGACATTTAACAGCAATTAATGTGGCCCTTGAGAATGGATCACCCCATGCTCCATGGAGAAAGGTGCACCAAACACACCTGAGCTCCAGTGCTCCTACAGCAGAGCACAGCACTCAGGGCTTTCCTGCAAAACACAGGGGGTGAGAGAGCAGCTACCACTGGGCTGGGAAACTCCACTTTTAGCACCAGCAGAAAACATGCCCTGGAGTTTCCCTGAAAATCAGGAGCCAGCTGCAGCCAGGGGCTCACAGCTCCAGCAGGTGGGTGTGTTCTCTGTGTGAGCTGTGCTGGGAGAGCAGGGGATGCACAGCCAGGGATCGCTGCCTGCTCTCAACCAAGCCAGCAACCACATCAGCTGCCTGCTAACCCAGCAGAGCCGGCTGGGGGGGAGAATGCTCTGCTGTCAGAACTCTGAGCACATCTCAGACAGAGCTGGGGGCAGGACTTTGTCCTGACACGCAGACAGTCAAGTCTGGGGAAGAACCAGCACACACAAAGTAGTTCCACATCCCAAAAGAGCTTATTCTGTTGTTTTGGGTTTTGTTGTTGTTTTTTTTTTTGCTTAAGACATGTATTGGGATGAGAATGGGTAGCAGCATTTCAACCCACCACAGAAAGCTGTTCAGATTACTCTTTCTTTCATAACCTCACACCAATTATTAAAAAAGAAGTCTAAGAAGAAAAATGCTCTGAAACAATTTTGGATTGAGAACTTGTTGGTTTCAAAGTGTGTGCGTTTTCCATTTTAATGAGTATTTAAAATACTTTGATACCGCTTCAGGCCTGTAAGCAGCATCAAAGTAACACTGAACTATTATGTACCACATAAACACACCCACACTTTGCCCATGTATACTTCATTTGCATGTTTTGTGGGCAGTTGTGTGCAGCACAAGGAAGCAGATAGAAAATCTTGCTCAGAGGAACAAGAGAGGACAAAACCATTTGTCTGATTACCGGAGGATTTCTGCATCCAAGGAAGCCAAGTCTTCATGGAAAACATACGGGGGGTTACTGACCAGGACATCGACGGGGCCCCAGAGCAGCAGCTGCTTGGCAGAACCTGGAAAAGAAGAATCACAACCAGCTCTGAACTGTGGCATCTTCCCTGTCAGCTCAGGGTCAACATCCCACCCAGCAAACAGCCAAGCATCGACTCACTGCATAAGCCTCAGCAAATGTCAGTTTTCACTGGTTTCAGCCAGGTCTGGGCAAGACAAGTATCCTTCCCTGGGTCAACTCACCTAATTTCAGGTGAATGAGGCTGAGGATTTTAATGTAAGCTAAACATATGGTCTCCCTCTAACATCAGTGGAGGGACAGGCATGTACATGTCTATCTAAAGCATTCATGTCAGCATGGAATGAATTATAACCTGCATATATTTGTCTCTCCCCTGTAACAGCAAAGAGCACCTGTGCTACCAGCTCAGACACAATCTTTGGACACATGAAATCAGGAACAATTCACCTTCTGATATGTAGGTAGGGACTTTATTCAGCTGCTTATGTGGCCTGGAACTCTCTGAAGGGAAAAGCTTCAGTGGCTCACTTCTTACTGACCTTTTTCTCTCTTAACTTCAACACCCCAGAGGGGTCCCTTGGGGGTGTGTCATACCTGCCTCCACATCAAAGAGAAAAGGGAGAAAGACAAGGGGGATTGTAACAGCGAAAAGACTTACTGTGGGAAACATCTTGGTGGATGACATGAATCCTCTCCTGGAGCTGCAGCCTCCAAAATTCCAGATGCAAGAACAGAAAGATTAGGAGGCATGTTTGTGTGGATTCACAAACAGCACATTCTACAAACAGATCTTTAAGTATTGCATCCCTTATCTGACACACTTACATCCCACCCCACTGACTGCAGCTGCATTCCCCTCAAGGGAAATTTAGGACCTGCTCTTTGCTTGAGGAACCAAATTCAAAGCAAAGAGCACACTGTGCACCCATGGTGATTCCAGGGTGGGGCTCCTCTATATTCTCCTTGCCAGGGTAAAATAGTTGAGACAGTGATCCCCTTAAATCTTAGGAATTCTGAGCAAAGCTCCCTTGATGCTCCTGGGACAGGAAAGAGAGGCCAGTCTGAAAGTAGCCTTGGGCTTGGTGACAGCCTGATACTACAGAAACGGGGAGAGTGACACAGCAAGGAAGGAACAGAATCTCTAATTCCTCAGCCACGTGGTCCATCCATCATAAAGCCCTCTCTTTTCTCTCCAGTTTTGCCTCTGGTCCTTGTGAAGACATCTGAACAATGCCAGAGGAAGTACTTTGCAAAGGCAGAAAGACCAGGCTGATCAGGACTCCAAGCCTCCCACACAAGATGCCATTGCCAGACCAGCAACAGCTGCCCTGTCAGCATACACAGGCATCAGGGAAGGGAGGGATTCCTGCACTGGGCCCAGATGGACCATCTGGCACCAGGACTGATTCAGTGACAGTAAGACTCACCTAAGCATCTGGAGATCACAGCTAGGATAAGGGAGCTCTGAAAAGCAGGCAGGATCCAAGCTGGGTTCAGTCAAGCAGTAACACAGTGATCCTGCTGGCTCCTCTCCCAAGAGCTACAGGGCACCACGCCATGGACAAGATCTCAAGGATGCAATGAAAATATCCATGGAGAAATACGAGGTTCTCTGACATGGTATTTACATTCCCTCGTGCACTCTAAGGTCAACTAGCAATGTTAATAAGCAAGACAATTTTTCCCAGATGACAGAGCAATAATCCACTAAGGAGGCAAAGATCTGGCCAGCTTTTATTATATCTATGAAAAATTGCAACAGAACTTGGTTTGACACTGCCCCATCAGAAGGAAACCTCTGCTCCCCATTCTGTGTAACTGGGCTAGGAGGCAAAGGGTGACAATGAGGTGACAAGTCTGGGAAGGGCTTGTTCCTACACATCTCTTCAGGCTCACTGTGAGCTGGGATTGGGTTGCAAGAAGTGAAGAAATACAGCTCATTGCAGCCAGAACCAGAGGTATCCTGTCCCTGTAGCCCCAGTGCTGGCAGCAGCTTGGGAAAAAAGGGTATGGGGGCCCTGTGGACAGAAATTCCAGTTAATGAGCACCTCTTGAGACTCATGGACTCCATGAGCAACAGGAATTCTTTGTGACATGTCTCTAATTCATGCCAAGGGCCCAGCAGTTACTCAGGACATGGATGCAGTCTGGGGCTCTGCACCTTTCACAGTGTCTACAGAGACTGGATCCAGGACTCGGGAGCATTCTGGGATGCCAACTCTGGAGCTCCCTGTGGCAGTGACAGTCCAGAACAGCCTGACAGAAGAACCAGCTGAGGAAGTGGAGCCACTAGGAAGGACAAGGCCAACCTGACAGGCATCTGTCCTGATTTCAGGCACACGGGGTTGATTCAGCAGCTCTGAACATCCAGGTGTCCAAACAGCATGGGGCCCAGCAGCACCATTCCCACCCAACCAAGACTGCCAGGAGGATCCTGAGGGAGGCCACACTCAGAGCACATCAGAAGAAAAGTGCTACTGGAGTGGGCAAGCTTATTTCTAGAGGAGCAAGGACAGACACAAGCACAGCAATAATGACCTAGGGAGCCAGAGGGAGAGAGGTTCAGGCTACACTTGTCCTTCAGTCCTAAGTGACATAAACATTCCTCCTGCTGCCTTGAGCTTCCCCAGTTCACAGAAAGGGATAAATGGAGTTACCAAGAAACACTTTGAAAACCCTTGACAACAGTGTGTAAGTACTGTTGCTTTATTGAGGCTGCTGCCTTTACAAAGCATGTTCACAAGTCAAAGAAAAAATAAGCGTTTTTTCCTGAGTTATTACACACTTTAGGAGCTCAACCAAACATTCCCTGTTTCCAGTGGTGATAAAAATGAACTACATGTACAAAAGACTCTCGGTCTTTCTCAAATAACAATTTACAAAAATGAGTAATAGGTGGTCTTGTACCTGTGTGCGTTCTCCCTGGTGAGGTGCACAGCAGCCTCCTCTTTATCCACGGCTATGACCTGGCTCTGGGACAGAAAAGAACCCAACAAACCCCACCAAGCACGTGTTACAACATCAAGGTTCCCAAGCTCTGCCAAACATGCAAGATCAAAACTGACAACTGACAGCTCATCTTGGCTCCTGAAAGGAACAGCTCATGAGGAATGTATTTGGGGCACTGCTGGGATCATGAGTCACGTCCAGCAAGGCACTGATGTGACCAAAGGCACTCTGCACCACAGCCAGGAGCCACCAAAACAGACAGGCCTCTGAGCTGACAGCAACAGCCACACTGACTCACATTACCTGACGTGCTCACAGCTCCTGGTAGTGTGAGGCTCAGCACTGGCTTCTCTGTGGCAGACACAGGCTGAAGGAAGATCACACTGAAGGTTTCTCCTCTCTAATGCAGACAGAATCCCTCCCAGCATCAACACAACCACTTGGACAGAGGCTCTAGAATTTTCCATCTGTTAGGCAGACACCTTTTACCCAGTTGCTCCACTGCAGTCCTTACACCACATTCACTGCCTGCACTGACTGCACGTACTTGACTGTGTGTCAAGTATTTGAGAGTTCTCCAGCAAAATGTTAAGAGGCAGGGCCACACAGCTAAGAGATTTGTCTGACCTTCCATTCCACCTTGGGAAAACCACAGGCAAAGGCCTAACTTGGTTTTGCTTTGCTCAATGCTTTTTAAGCATAGATACTGGCAAGAATTTACACAAAGAACACATGCTTGAAGAAACTTGCAGAAACACCATCGTTTGCAGATGATGGTGTGATTTGCCGTCATGCCTGAGGGGATTAATTTCACAGCCCCAGGCTAGAACCCACACAAGTGAAGCTGACCCTGAAGGTGAAGGACAGAGCTGAGTCCATAAATTAAAAGCTGCTGCTGTCTTCTCAGTACCCGAGTGCCAAATTCTGCCTCAAACACTACAGAGATCACACAGTGTAAACTCCACTTAGCTGTCAGTGTGGGTACCACTAATTCTAGTCGGTCAAGGCTCCTTATTTCTCTGGACACAGTTGTTTGTGCTGGGAAAGGACTGTTATCAGCCACAGGGACAGACCGACACGGTTCTTTACTTAACAAGCAAGGAAAAGAGCATGAAGCTCTTTTCCTAGCTCAGGAAATCAGACCAATTCTACTTTGAAGTCATGAAAATCCAGTATTAACCTTCTCGGGTCACTGGGAGGAGGGAACACCCCTCCCATTACAGGCATCAACTTCTAATTTTTACACAGCCAGGTCTACACTTCTACAGGAAGAGGGGTTGGCCAGAGCAATTCTTGTTCATGAGAAGGAACTGGCTGGTCTGCAGTTCTGAGGAAAGGGGAATACTTTCCCCTTAAGTACACGCAGTGAGATCTTGGACTCACTTCTCATTTTCTTTACCAGGAGTGTCTCAGTAAACATATCACATGCCACAAGAATCAGGGGCAAGAAGGGCTTTGGTCACCCAGACCTCAGTCCCTTCCTGCTCTTTTCACTCTGTTCAGAAGCTGTGGGTTGTTTCCAGGGAACAAAACACTTGTAAAAGGTGGTTTGGCAATGGTGGCAGTGACAGCTGAAGAACGAGCACATTCACTTCTTCCATTCTGATTATGCCTCTGCTACTCCTGCAGACAGCTGGGGAGAGCAATTCCCAGATACCCCTCCTCTCCCTAGTATGAACTCCCAGAGCCTGACTGCCCAAATCCCATCAGAGAAGTCAGTGACATCTCAGTGACGAGGAGCAGAGTGGGGCTTTCCTCTAGCACAGGCATCTGAAGAAAGCTTACCTGTGGCAGTTTGCTCAGCAGGCTCAGAGCAATTGCTCCAGAGCCACAGCCCACCTCCAGGATCACAGGATGAGGAACAGGAACTGGGAAGCAGGGGCCTGAATTCGCACATTTCTGAGATTCTTCCTCCACTACTAAAGAGACGAGATCCTAACAAAAACAAACAAATAACATTACTGAGGGAGCTGTTTTGATTCACACCTTTGTGATCTGAGGACTGAAGTTTAAATTTCTCGACTGTGTACCAGTGAAATGTACTTTTGTTGCTAATTTTAAAAGCACAGATGGTAGCAATGGAACTGACGTGCCAGAAGTCACTTCAGCTCCATCTGCCCCACAGGGTGCTTTGATTAGTAACCAATCCTCAGGATATAATTTCCCACAGATCCTCAGAAATCTTCTTGCTCTGTTGGGAACAGCAATAACCGAACAGCTGGAGCACATTATCTTCTGCAACACCGTTTTATTTACTTCAGAATTTCAGCTTTCAGAATTTGCAAGCATCAAAAGTTAAGATTTCTACACTGTCTCAGTAGGGTATGTGATCTGGAGGAGCTGCTAACAGCATCTAAACCAATAATCCAACCTGCAGATGAAAAGCAAAGGCAGTGCGTTACTAAATGATCCAAATGAGCAGCTCCCTGCATGGATTTCAGATTGTGGACTCCTACTATGCTTTACTGGTATAAAGTCACATGGTGACTGATACCTAAGGAGCCCCAGCCAGGGATGAGCAGTCACACCACAATGCCCTGCCCTGGTCACTGAGTCATTACTGGCATTGCTCCCATACAGGATTTTGCTCACAGCCTCCAAAATCACGTCTTGCTCGCTGCTGCTCTGGCATTTCTGTCCTAGACAGCAACGGATGAAAACATTCTCACAGGCCCCTAACCTGTAGGAAACTATTAGAGGACTATCAGACAGCTACAGGGAAAAATAAAACACCTTATCTACCCACTTTTGTGTAAAAATGGCTTTGGCCATTCAGCCAACAGCTCCAGATGAATCGGTCTGAGAACACTGGCAGTGGAGACAGCCAGAGACTGGAACCACAGCTGGTTTGGCAAAGCAGGTACTGATGATTCCAAGAGGCACCCAAAAAGTTCTGCTTGGCCATTAAATCACTCTTTGAAATACCAGCCATTTCTGGACACTTACAAATATTTCCAGGAAATCTCCACAGTAACTCAGAACCATCTGTTCCCAGAGAAGCACAAGTTACTGATTATAAATGTCCAAATGTGACTTCTATACACTAGAACTATTCTCAGCATTTATTAACTTCCTTAAGGTTTGTCATTAGCAATTTCAAGCTTGATGGTTTTTGACGGAACTTTACACATTCCACAGTGAAAGCATTTTACAGTGCTTGCCAAAGCTCCTATTTAAATATGGCCCATTTCAGTCTTTACCACATGTGCAAATGAAATGGGATGTTGGTATTCCTTAGGCTTTGTATTCTGCTTCCCAACCCCGCTTTGTCTCATTGTCCTGGTTATTTCATATGCTCCTTACTGAGGCAAAGGCTGGTTCTCTCATAATATTTACGTTTACCATAATAGTACCAAATTAAAAGATATTAAAAAATGATGTGACAACCTAAAGAAACTACATCTTTTTCTGAACATTAGCATCTCACTACAATAAAATAATTATTTCCATAATTATTCAACGTGATTGGCAAGCAAAGATGATGGTGTTTTCTAACTGGCAAAGAATCAGGAAAATCCAGCAACCATGGACACAGAGCATGTCCAGTCATCCCACTGCCATTGCCACTAGGCTTCCTTCTCAGAAAACAGGAATGATTAAATTATGCTAAATTGTTTTGAAACCACTTTCGTCAGATTCTTCTCAGTATTTCTCATCTTCTAGCAAATGATTCAGCGAAAATCTGTGCTTTTCCAAGCACACCATCATCTCCAGAATATCACCACTGGAAATTGATAAATTACAGCACTGTGCAGAACCCCTTTCAAATCTCATCTTGGAAGATGATGTATTTCTGGCCAAGCATTACAGTGTTCACACGGAGACTACAAAATACCCTGCAGGTCAGACATTCCCAACCTCTGCACTGGAATCCGACTGGAACCACAGCAGGGAAGAGCAACAGAGGGGTTGATGGTGCTAAAAAGTGATGCCAGTCCCAGACAGAAACACTGGGAACAGCAGCTGGCCAAAGGCTGGGCAGGATACCCCACGTCTTCCCAACTGAACAGGTTCAGAGCACAAACATCTAACACATAAAAGCCATTTTAACCATCAGTTTGATCACCAGCTTTAAAGGCTGGAGATGAAATGACACAAATCCCACTGGGATAGAAGAGAAAACACTTTGGCAGCCTTGGTGATTAACCCTTGGAATGTGTTAGGTAAATTCTGCAGGACCTGGCGCTCTACACTGAAGTGGCAGGCTATTCAGTAGGGCTTATTGTCACTCTCACCATTTACAGGGTTCAATACATAGTCAATACATCCTGGAGAGCCATGTCCCTCACTACAGAAAAGTGCTAATTTTGGAGAAAACAGAGACTCGACAATGAGTGTCTCTAAAACCGGAGAACAAGTCAGCCTGTTCAGATGTCCTGCCTACAATATCTAAAGAAATAGTGATTGGCTGCTCTTGATTTGGTTTTGGGGTTTTTTTGTTTGTTTGTTTACTGTTGCAGCTAAAAATGTAAACACGATTAAAAAAAATAACAACAACAACAAAGAGCTGTATTAAGGAGCAAGTAAAATCATAAATTAAAAAAGTATCTTAGAAATGTGACCCCATTCCATATTCGCCCACAGCATTCCAACCACTGGGTAGGATGAATGCTCAATTGTGGAGTCACCAGAACTCAAATTATTGCTCACAGCATGAGTCATTACTGTCAATAACAACACAGTCTACACTAAAAACCCTGCTGACCAGTGGTACAGGTACTGGCAGAACTCCTTTGAACCTGGAGCCTGGTGCACACACGCAGGGGTGTAAGTCCCAGCCACCTCTGAAACCTGTGCGTTCATGAGGGGGGCAAGTGAGGTGCAAGGCAAAGTATCTGGAAGGGTTTTCAGACTGCACAGGGCTGAAGGTGACACAGGCATCAAGTGATGGGTTTTCAGGGACTGACACTCTGTTGCTTAGCACAAAACAGAGTGGGGAAAAGCTACAGACCCTCTGTGTCTTTGACAGAAGATAATTTAAAAATCTACAGTGGGAAAGGCAGGACATCCTTGGGAGAGAGAAGGATATTCAGTCCTGACTAGCAAAGGAACACCTTGAGAAGATTACATCTTTTAGTGTATTTAGTCTAGAAAAGTTCATCTCATTAATAAAAACAGCAGGTGCCAAGAGGACGGTGCCAGACTCTTCAGTGGTGCCCAAGAACAGAACGAGGAGCAATGGCCATAAACTAAAACACAGCAAGTTTCACCTCAACACGAGGAAGAACTTGTGTCTGTTGTATGTGGCAGAGCCCTGGAGCAGGGAGGTTGTGTTGCCTCCCTCTCTGTAGACATCCAAACCAACCTGGACACGTTCCTGTGTCACCTGCTCCAGGTGGCCCTGCCTTGGCACGGGGGTTGGACTGGGTGATCTGCAGAGGTCCCTTCCAGCCCTGACCATTCTGGGACTCTGATTACCTGCGGTTCCACGTACGGGGCACACAAATATTTGCTTCCCATGCTACTTCATTTCCAGCACTCAAGAGGCTCTCAAGCTTTTGTCTCTCAGCCAAGCCGCTCTCACCTCACGATTCCAGGAAGTCTTGCTTCACTGCCAGATTCACCCAAAGTTCACATTGTCATTTATTTGGGGTTTCTCTTCCCCCCCCATCTTGTCTACTGAGCAAAAGCAAACCCTTGTGCACACCTCCGGCTTCCCCTGGGCCTCACCCTCCCACCACAGCTGCGGTTCCCCAGGCCCCCCAGCACCACTGGTGTTCTCACAGGTTCTCGGTATCACCTCTCCCCCGTGGCCGGGTCTCCAGTGCACCGTATTTCTTGGAACCACAGCTGCACAGAGCAAGTGTGAGGCCAGGGGCTGCCAGCACCCAAACCACAAGCCCCACAGCTGCAGGCCCAGCCAGCAGCCAGCGCAGGCTCAGGCTGTGTCCAGCCCCAGCAGAGATTGCTGCGCTCCAGAGTGCAGCCGTGTGCAGTGAGGGAATCCTGTGCTGCAGCCCAGCAACAAAGAACCATCGGGGATGCTTCAGCCATTGAAGCACAAGGCTGAGAAAAACCAGTGGAGGCACTGGAAAGGCAAGGCTAGAGGTCACAAACTCACACCATGTTCCCTACAAGCACCTTTCTGGTGTCCCATGTGCTCCGGGGAAAGCAGGGAAAACAAGGTTCCAGGAGCATGAGCCAGGGTGGCAGGGGGCTCTCAGTTCCCAGGTTGGCAAACAGGACAAGGAAAGCAAAAGAACCAGGAAAACCAACTTCTCCCTGCTCTCGCAGACTTCCTGGGATTGTTTTTTTTATTTGTGTGCTTTCCAGAAACTTCTGTTCTCAGAATCCAGGACTTTCCATAGAGCCTGATCTGATATTAACCAAATCACCCCTCCCCTCCTGTTTGTCCACTTGGCTGCAAATCAGCACATGATCAAACACCAGGAAGCCAAGCTGGAAACCTAACTCCATGGCACTGGCCCTAGGAGATCCCTGCCAGGGACCCCACTTGCAAAGCAGTGCAGTGCTCTGTGGGCAGGCAGGGCCTTGTCCTGGGCTCTCCTGCCTGGCACCCGAGTAGGAAAGAAAAAATGTTGCACGGAGCCCAGGAAACTCCCCCATAAAAGCAAAGCACCAGAATAACTGCAGAGAGAGCTGCTGATTTTAGAATAAAAGATGGCTTTATCAGGCATGAGCAATGACAAACAGGTCAAAGCATGCCCAAACTGAGGAGGGGGTTTGGTTTCTCTGTAATACACGTGTCAGGGCACACGCCAAGCGCTGCTTCTGTTGGAGCAGAGGCTGTGACAGCACCCAGACCAATATGAGTTTACCAATAGGCAGCAACCTTTGCAATCCATATGTGCCCATGCCCAAGAGAAATTACCACAGCTGCCATGCCTAAATTTAGCCACAGCCAAGGGACAAGAGTGGCTCCAAGTCACGGCGCTCTGGCCCTCCCTCAAGCCTCCAGCACAACGCTCTGTCTG